AGCTTTCTGGCAGTTTGCCTTCCCCAGGGATCTGTCCTCTTCTCTTTCTGTTCTCTTACTACATGGGTTCATACTGTTCCATGGATTCAAATATCCTTTTCATGCAGATAATTCTCAAATTTCTACCTCCAGCTGGAGTCTCTCTTCTGAACCCCAGTCTCATATATCCAACTATCTCCTAACGTCTCTATTCCAATGTCTAATTATGTCTTGAGCTTACATGACCAAATCTTCTCTCCCTAAATTTTTCCCCATGAAGCCTTTCCCGTCTCAGTAAATGGTATTCCAGGCCAAAATCCTGGAGTCATTCTTGATTCCTTTCTTTCCTTCATGGACTGCATCCAGGTGTCTGTAAATCTTGTTGGCTTCGCTAGCAAAATATATCCTAATTCTGTCTGCTTCTCATCACGTCTCTACTACAGCTCACATACCAACCACCATCTTCTCTCACAAAGAAAGATGTGCTGGTTCTTTACACCAAGGGTCCCCAACCACCGTACCGCAGACTAGTACTGGTCTGTGGCCTGTTAAGAACTGGGCTGGCTGTACATCATGAGGTGAGCTATGGGTGAGCAGAAGTCCGCCTGCTGTCAGGTCAGCAGTGGCATTAGGTTCTCATAGAAGTGCAAATCCCATTGTGAACTGCACATGTGAGGGATATAGGTTGCAAGTTCCTTCTGAGAATCGAATGCCTGATGATCCCTATCCCCCCTGTTCATGGAAAAACTGTCTTCCACGAAACCGGTTCCTGATGTCAAAAAGGTTGGGACTACTGCTTATACACTAGTATTCACACCACAGCCTGAGTGACTTGCTAAATGCATAAATCCCATCATGCCACCCTCCCCCGCCACGGATTTCCATTATTCTTCAAATAAAATCTAAATTCCTTAGCATGGTCAGAATGCTCTGTACTATCTGTACAATTCTTCCTCCATGATGTCTTCTCCCTCAACTCAATTCCTTATTTTCTATCCCCTAGCTACACTGGCATTTTGTCCCTGGATCATCCCTAAGCTTTTTCCAGCCTAACAGCCATTATATGCACTGTTCTTTCTGCTTGAATAGCTCTCTTCAGATATTCAGGTGGCTGCCTCTTTAATATATTGTCTGGCTCTCTGGTAGAATGTAAGTTCCTTGATGGCAGAGATTCTGCCTATTTTATTCACTGCCGTATGCCCAGTATCTTGAACCATCTGTGGAATATAGTATGTGTTGAATAAATGCTTACAGTCTGACTTTCTCTTCTAACACCTTCACTGGCTCCTTAGAATGGGCAATCTGCTTTAGCTGGGCATTCAAGGACCACAACAATGAAGGTACCTCCTCATCCCCACAATCTACCTCTGTCTTAAACTTTATTTCCTTTTACTCCTTAAAAAATCTTTTTTATTTAAAAGATATGGGGTATAGACCTTGCTAAGGTATGGTGTGGTCATGTGCTCTTTGAGCTATGGCCAGGCCATGTTTTCTTAAGCTCTGGTCCCTCTCCTACCTTGGGGAGGTGAATCTCCTCTTTTTTTCTCTCTCTTTCTAATTTACTTAATAAATAAACTATACTTTCTAATCTAAAAAAAAGACGCGGGGTACAATTCAGGGATAGCTACATAAGAGTCATCATACAGGTAAGATTTGGACCTTCCTTTGGTCCCCACTTTGCCTGGTTTGAGGTCGGGTATCCTTACTGATGTTACGGGCCGCCTCCCCGGCAGTGTTCCCTTCTACTGCTTTAAGTCAACTCTCTCCCAAGGTAAGAATGTCTTTGCTCAGTCTGTCTCTTCTGCCTGTAATGGTCTTACCATACCACTCCTCTTGTTTAAACTCCACACTTTTATCCAAGCTCAGTTTAAGAACCACCAGGACAGGAAGCTCTCCTGGATCACACAAGCCACAGCAATCTTTCTATTCCAGATTCTGACTGCCCTGAGATCTGCTCCTTCCACAAAACACCATACTACACTGTTGGTATCTTTTAGAATGTCTGTCCTGTCTAACCAATTAAATTGTACGCACCTGAAAACAGAGAATTAGTTATAAAATGTTTTGAATCCCCAATACCATAGAGTGACTTACACATCACAGGAAGGCATTCTATATTTGTTCATAAATAAAATGCATGTTCAAACGCTTCAATCAGTATAGTCTAATAACTCATAGCAGCTGTTTGTTTACTGCCTGTTGAGTTCCAGACACTGGGCAGAATGTTTTTAACATAACACCTAGTTCATCTTCCTTGGAGGTCACTTGATGGATATGATTTTGTCATTACTAACCTTTTATTAATCTTACACCCAGTTCATAGCTCTGCATTATAATCCTAAAGTTTCATTTTTAAATAAGTTATTATTCCAATTATGTTCTAAATTTTAAAACTCAGAAGAGAAGTACAAGAATCAAATAAAATGCCAAATATAAAGTGCTTCCAACTAGAGTTGGAACGTGTTGGCAGGTTGGCAGGTTGATAATGAAAGCTATAATTTATAGGGTCTTCTCAAAGGAATTTTACCTGGCTAGCATGGTTTCGTGCATATTTGTAATCTGCAATCATTCAAATCTTTATTGACAGGCCAGGTGTGGTGGCTCACACCTGTAATCCCAGCACTTTGGAAGATGGAGGAGGGATTGCTCAAGCCCAGGAGATTGAGTCCAGCCTGAACAATGTAGCAAGACCTTGTCTCTACAAAAAAATTTAAAAATTAGCCAGGCATGGTGGTGTGTGCCTATAGTCCCAGCTACTTGGGAGGCTGAGGAGGGAAGATCACTTGAGCCCAAGAGTTCGAGGCTGTGGTGAGCCATGTTTGTGCCACTGCACTCCATTCTGGGCAACAGTGTGTCCTTGATTTAAAAAAAAAACAAAAACACTTCATTGAGAATGTGTCCATTTTTGTGTACTGAGAACTTTGTGTATTCTCAGTCCCGTGAGAGAAAACAACAGAACACAAGGTTCTAGCCTGCCTCTCTCTGAGATGTCATCTACATGGGAATCAAGGCTGATGGCTATGAAACATGAAAAATAAGGGGAAGCACTTTATCAATTGCTAAATGGAGTCATAATAATGGCACCGTCTCATGATTTTATGGAGTTGATGCATATTGTTTTATTTGCTCCTCTCAATCCTGCCAAGTCAGTGTTACTGCCCTCACTGTACAGACAAAGAACTGAAGCCCTGAGGAGCTGTTTCTTTCTTCATAAGTGGCAAAGCCTGGATTTAAGTCAATTACGCTGGCTTCAGGTTCAGTGTTCTTGGAGATACAGTTTCTACTTATTTGCTCATTGAGTCACTTGTCTGGTTATGCATCCATCAAGTATTTGCTTGGTACCAACTATATGCCATGCACAGTGATAGGTGCTTGGGATACAAAGCAGTAAGATGCCACCCTTGTCCTCCAGAACCCAGAATGTAGGGAAATAGGCAGAAACAACATGAACTAAAGAAATTCATGAAAGAGATTTCTGAAGACTAGTTCAAGAAATACTATCACAGTGAACCCAGGTCCTTATTCATTCAGACAGTCATTTAAAAAATATTAAATGAGTGTCTACTAGGTGATAGACAATGTGCTAGACTAACATTATAGAAAATAAATTTATAGTTTGGCACCAGGAGAGTAGAAAACATATACTCACAGGCAACACAGTGGATCTAAAAATAAACTCATAATCATTCTTTTCAAACCTATACTTTACTCCTCATGGCCTATTCCATTTAAAATTCCTAAAATCACCCAGATGCTCAAGTCATGGAGTTTTCTCTGTGCTTCCCTTTTGCTCATCCACCCACAGCTAACTCTCAGCTTAGGCTTTTCAAGTCTATGTCCTGAGTTTCTCTTAATCTGTTCCTTTCTCTCCATTCCCACAGCTCTAGCCTAGGTCCTCACCATCCTTTGCCTAATTGTCATGTCATGCCCAAGGTGAACTTTGACTCTGGCCTGAGACCAGCATCCACTGTCCACCCATGCTCCACCCTTACGTCTCCCACCACTAGAGTGAGCTTTCTAAATCCAAATTCAACCTGAGATTTCTGTGCTAAAATCTGTGTTAAAAGTTCCCTTCTCTTTAGGGAAACTCCAAATACCTGCTACATTAGCACCTCCTGGCTGGGCTTCTGCCCACTTGCTAGGCTCACTTTCTAGTGTTCCCCCACAACTACCTTCACTGTTCTCAAACACACATCCTATGCTCTAGAAACGAATACCAGAAAGTATTTCCCCTTTTAGGAAGCCACTTCCAACACCCTCCTCTAGGCAGGTACATCAGTGACTTTCATGTCAAACGAAATAAGTGTAGCTACTGATGGTTGAGCACAGCAATTCATACATCATGCCAGTCTCCGAGGCAATAACAATACAATTTTTAAGGACATGAACTTTTGGGCTAGCAAGATGGGTTCAAATACCACTCTGTCATTTGTTTAGCAGAATGATCTAGGGCAAGTGACCTAAAGTCTCAATGCCTCAATTTTTCATCTTTAATATGGGGATAATACAACTCTCTTCGTTGAGTTGTAAGGATTTATGAGACAATGCACAAAAAGATTAAGTTGAAGTCCTAATTCTTGTTTTTGCATTAGATTTTTTACATATATCATGATGAATCTGTCCCCAAACCATGGAAGTTTTCATTATCTCCATTTCACAACTAAGGAGTTTCATTCAATTCATTTCACAACTAATTATATGACTTGTTCAAAGTCATATAATTAGAAAGCAGTGAAGTTAGGGTTTAAATCCATACCACAAAACTCTATTACAGTACTTATCACATCATGTGGAAAATATTTACTTATGTACCCAGATCTCCTCCAGGGTAGGAAGCTCCCTGAGGGCAGGAACCTTGTCATATTCATATTTCCCAGGAAAAGTGTAAGAAAGAATGAACAAATATTCAGCCAGGAAGGACTAATGTCCATGAGATTCCAGTACTGGAGGACAAGAGAAGTGGCTAGCATGGTCATCGTGGCAATGGAACAAGAACGTCCCTCAGCTCCTGGGTCACTCACTCATTGCTTCTATTTGCACATGGATGAGGTTCTCAATGTCCTCCTGCAGCGTCTGGTGGGGCTTCAGGGGGATGGGCAGGTAACCATAGTGCTCTCTGTTGCAGAGGTACATCTGGATGCCTGAGGACCCAAGACAGGGACAAAACATACTGCTTAGTGACAATGGAAAAGAAGGAGCCTGGACTGTGTCTGATGCTGAGTTTGACATTGAGATTAAACAATGGTTGTTTCAGGTATGTCTATAGACCTCAAAAATGCTCCTTTATTAAAAAAATCAAACACAGCATTGGGGACTAATAAAAATACTGGGCTATTCTTCAGCCCAGAGGAAATTGATTTTTTCTCTCTGAAGAAAAAGCAAACTCATGGCCTGGAATGAACACTAACGGCATGAAAGGATCAAAAGGGAGACAAGGAATTCCCATTCCAGAGGGCAGAATGGAACACTATAATCCACCTACAGGAAATAACAAGAAAATGAGGAATGAAATCCACATTTGATATGAAAGCAAACAGGAAAATTCTGTAAGGCTGACAGATTATTAAAGGTAAATCTAGGCATACTTAGAACAAAAAATTAAAAAAAAACAAAGGAAATTTAAAATTTTCTATGATGCTCCTTAATTTTATTTATTCCCTTAGCAAGCTTGGATTTGGAGTTAACCAACAAACATGAAACTTCCAAAATCAGTTCACGCAGTACCAAAAGGCAGTCTGCAATGTGACAATACCAGAAATATGCCCTCTTATATTCAACACTGGTCTTCCCAGCCTTAGCTGGCTAACATTGAGAATTATAGGGGGTCTGTGATCAACCAGACATCTAGGAATTTAGGAATCAAGATGGTCTCAAGCTGGGTGGTCGTGAGCATGCCACTGCACTCCAGCCTGGGTGAAGGAGTGAGACTCCAACTCAAAAAAAAAAAAAGATGGTCTCATATAGACCTAGCAACTGACAGTCTTAACCAATAAAAGAATGGCTTGGTGAAATGGATGTGTCTGGTAAGCTCTGGTTTGTGTGTTCAAGCCTCTGATTTGTTAATTGCTGCAATCATCAGTATTTTCCTGAGAGAGAATTATACACATAGTGATGTCTCTATTTTGTGCAGATGAAATTTCTTCCAGTCAGCTGCATAACCTGCCAAGTCAGGTGAAGCTGTCTCATGGTATTAGCAGAGAAGAACAGGAAAAGAAAAGAGCCCTTATCCTTTGCCTTCACTGAATTTGGCTTGAATCAAAGCTGGTCCATCAAGCACTGTCCCCTCTCTTGCCTTCATCAAGTGAACTCACTAGTTCTGCTGTTTACTTACATGAATGCTTCCAGGAACTTCAAATCAAAATGTGCCTTCTTGCAAAGTCATTATGAATTCAGGAAATGAGAGGAAAAATATATTAATGTTGTGTCTTTACTCTAATTAGGCAAACCATTTAACTTTCCAAAGCTTCCATAAAAACAGGATATGATACCTAGTCAAGCTATCCATCAAGTGTGAGGTTACGAGGAAGGCATTCCCAGATATGAAAGGTCATAAACTATTTTCTAAGAAGGTTACTTCTCAAGTAGAAGAAGAATGAGGAGGAAGAGAAGAAAAAGATGGAGAAAGAGGAGGAAGAGGATGAAGAGGATTACAACCAACAAGAAAGATTTAGGACACAAACAGGAGAGTCAATGCATAAGAGAAGAGAAATGAGCCCCAGGCTGACATCTGTGGCACCATAAGATTAGAGATTATCAGAAGGCTCCAGGAGAAATAGCCTCACAAATATGCAAAAAAGAAAATCTGATGAATCTGAACGTTTTGAGAGGACTGTAAGAAAATTAGTGATTAGTTTGATTGTATTAGTAATAATAAAACTAAGCCCAAAGAGAAAGGAAAACTAACAATAGCCTATAAATGGCTGCACTTAGTACTTGGTTTGCACACTTATAATAACAACAGCAACAAAAACTGGCTGTGGATCTACCTTAAATTACATTGAGAGGATGAAGCCATAGAAAAATGTGTTTGCATGCAGGGGTAAAGAGTGGAGATGGAGCTAGCTCCTCACCTTCTGCAGTAGAGAATCAACAGATAATGTCTTGAGCGAAGCCAGAAAATCAAGAAGTAGCAATGTGCGCATGGTTTTTAGAAACAGGGATGTAAATACTACCCTGATACAATCATTCAAAAGAGGTTAAAGTGGTTGTCTTTTGGAAGAGAGAAATGGTGAATGGGTGATGTACAGAGGACTGCTTGTTTCTTAATAAACCCTGGAGAACTATTTGAACTCTTTCAACTACATCTACAGACAACTTGATAAAAATAAAATAAAATTCAAAAGAAAATGTGTTAATATTAAATAAGGTCTATGAAGAAATCTGGCACTCTCCGTGAAAGCTGCTTCTGGGGAAACAATTTTCTTTTTGAAAAAGAAAGGTGAATTATGCTATATTTGGAAGGACTTTGCTTTTCTTATAAAGACATCAGACACTTTCTTGTACTCGCAAAGTACACTAACATCGCAGATTGACATAATTGCTTCCATCTTTGATGATGAAAAATTCAAGGTCACATTGTAAATTATTATAGCCAAATCTTTGTACCCAAAGAGTCAATGCCAAGTGCTTTCTACCCACCCATGATTCTGAAGCTCATATCTGAGACTGTTAGTCACCAGGGACTGTCATTCCTATACATGAGTGGCAATTTTGATCACTACCAGTAATGTTCAGGAGGCAGATCTGCCTGCCCATCGCCCACATCACTTACCTCTTTTGACTCTTAGCAGACAGTTGCAAGATGGCTGACTGGCGCCACCAATGGTTCCTGTGGCCGTGATACAAAGCTCAGATCACTGGCCACAATGGAAGGTTAACTCGTAACCCTGGCCTCACTGTAGCCACAGAAACTCGCCTATCACTATGTGCTCTCTTCTTGGGATTTGGGTGGCCAGGCCCAGCTCACCACACACTTGCATTGCCCGTCTCACCCCTTATCCACATGTGGCAATGACTGGAGCCTGGGGTGAAAGATTTAGGACCAAGGTTTGTGGTTTGATGGTCCTGCCTGGGACAGGCAGACCCTTTAGTTCCTTCTGGACATTGAAAAAAAATAATCATGCTCCACTGGATGATACACAGCTAGGGAGAACACCAAAGAAGAGTGAGAACCAAAGAACACCAATCAAGACTCTTTGGAGAGAGAGTGGAAGTGCTTTGCTTTGGTCTTAAAAAGGAAGAGCCTAGAGACACCTGATGGATGGGCTGCACATGACTCCTAAGGCTGAGTCTTGTTTCTTCTGAAAATATTTAAGAGATAAGTGCTGTTATTACCTTAGAATCCACAGTTGTCAGGAAATATCTTTCATTTTCCCCAAGGATAGTGAATCTTTCCTATCTTAACTCCTGCCTGTTTACAGTCTCTACCTCTGATCTGGCCCTAAGCTTTCACTGCTTCACAATATTAGTTCACTACCAACTAACACAGAGTCTGACACAATGCCAGGCACAAAAGTCGACAATTGTGAATTGATCCTCTCTCTTTCCTTTCTTGCCTCCTCTCTCCCCAAATGAGTCACCAAATGGCTCCGGGCCTCTGTACCTACTTTCAATGTTCCGAAAAAATTTGGGGGGAAGTCTGATCAATAATTCACACAGTCCTGGTGAACGGGCCAAGCACGGAGCTGAAAATTCCTGCCCAGCCTCTGCCACTCTTCTGGACTAAACATCCAGGTATTGGTTTCAAAAATGGATATCATGAGAATTTAGTGCATGGGTTCACAATAATGTCTTGGGCAATGGCTATGAAGGAGGACTCTGTTAGTGACCATTACTGTAATTGTTAATAGCTCACTTTATTGGCACATCCTCACTTCAAGTTCTGAAGCAAAAGGATTGGCGCACTCGAAGGAATAAGGCCCTGAGCCTGCTTCCCATCCCAGAGAAGCCAGAGCAAATCACAGACCAAGCCGAAGGAAGCAGTTTCTATCAATACTGACACAAGAACCTTTGTGAAAGCTTCCAATACATCTGAGGATTACTTTCGTCTGGACTCAAGGGCTTAAAAATGCCTACACCTGGCCAGAGGGTCTAAATTGCACTTGCAGCCAGGGGAAAGAAATCAGCCTCACACATGTCTAGCAAATATCCTCATTCTTAGCAAATCTACAGTGGATGAGAGGGACACCTATTGCTTTAAGGACACAGTCTGATGTGTGAGTTGTGGCTTGAATTTGTATTAACATTCTCACCTGCCAGCAACTCTCTCAACAGCCTGGGATCTTTGCACAATCTTTGCACGATCTTTTCCACAACGAGTTTATTCACTGTCTTCTTGGTTTGTAAATCTATTTTTCCTAGTTCAGTGCCATACTTCTGGCACACTGGTAATGGGAACTGACTTCTGTCAGGAAGAATCAACTTATCCTAATAAGGCTTTGCTTTAGTAATGCCACGTATCTTCCTGTTGAACTGCTGTTGTGAATTATGTTCTTCCTGATAGCACGTGTAGGGTGAAATGAGAGAAATCACTTTCCTTCCTATTGACTTGTTTTTCTCAAAAAGCCTGCAGGCCCCATTGGAAATGTCTTCGCAGCAGTTTATGAAAGACTTAAGTCTGGTTTCGCCTCTTCTTCCACGGGACTGAGGCAGAAACTGCTGGTGCATGTTCTATCTATTCTTCCCTTCTTCTAGAGTAAGAAAATTGGGGCACATGGCTGCATAGAGTTAAGATGACATTCTGAGCCTCCCTTACAGCAAGGTATCGTCCTGTAACTGAGCTCCGGCTAATGGGATGTTCATGAAAGCACTGCGTTCAACTTCTGGATTATACCCTTCAAAAGATGGAGAGTGTCCTCCTCTCTGTTTCTGTCTTGATGGCTGGAAAGCATGTATGCATGGCAGTGAGACATGTGGGATTCTACAGTTAAACACATTACCGCATGGAGGGTGGAGAGCAATATGGAAGGAGCCTGGGACTCTGAACACTATGGAACAGAGCCACTATAGCAGCTCAGACTTTTTTGAGAAAAAAATATACTTCTATTTTTAAGTCAGGGGTCTTTGCCCACGTCGTTTTGGGCCTCTGTAACAGTTTCTTAAATAATAAAGAGACTCCTATAATAAACAACAGCAATGCAGTAGCACCATAAAGAATCCATCACCTATAACTCCCAATGTCACCACCACTGTCCCTCCCTTAACGCATAGTGGGCTCCTAGGTAGGGGCTAGTCCTGACTCTTGGTAATTGATACTCCCAGATACATAGAGGGTGCTGGTAAGAACCACACCAGACAATTAATTGCTTCTAACATTACCTGAAAAGCAAGTGTTTTTTACTGAAATGGGTGTGGGTTCTTAAAAAAAAAAGCACACAAAAAAGGAGCTAGTTATTTGCAATATTCCATGGTGTCAGCACAATCAAATACAAATAGTACCTGCTAGCCTGCTGGAGAAGGCAAAGACGATGATGTCATCAAAGGTCCAGGTGTAGTCCTGGTGTGGGGGGTAGAACGCTAGTTTGTCAGAGGCTTCCTTCCTGAGGTCAATCAGAATGGTGGAGTGGACCATGGGGACGGGGAAGCAGCCCATCCTCTTCCATTCTCTAATCTGAAGGTAGTCTGGGGTCCGCTTATAGAAGCCCTGCAAAAACGCAAATAGGTGGGCTGTGTTCTCTACTCTGAAAGCTTGGTTCTTCTCAGTCATCTGCTAGGTTGATTTCTTCTAAGTCATCATCTGTTAAATAGAAGCTCCCAAGCAAAGCCACCTTCACTCTTCTTATCTTAACCTAAGAATTTCCAAATGAGCTCAAGAAATGCTACCTGCACATAAAACTACTCAAAGAGTCTTGATGACAGAAGTAATTTTGATTTCAGCACACCTCTTGATTTAACAATTTCCCAAAGTGTATTTTATGTGAACTTATGACTGGATACCAAATGTGCGAGCAGAACAGTCAAGATTTTGCAGATTATGGTGTCAGACTCCCTGAGTACAAATCCCAGACTCCCTGAGTACAAATCCCGCTACCTACTGTCTGCAGATATGGGTCAGGTGACTCAACCTTGCTATGCCTATTTCCTCATTTCTGAAACAGGGATGATGGCACTATCTACTCCATGGGGCTATCTGTAAAATTTAAGTAAGGTAAGACCTGAATAGTGCTTAGAATAGTGCCTAGCACCAAGAAAGCATCAACAAATATTGGCTAGTGTTAAAATGGAATGATGCTATGGCTAATATTTGTAACTAAACATATATTACTCAGACATAGAAATGAGGGTCTTCTTTTAATGCAGTTACTTAACATTCTGATGGGGCTGCAACTGCTCAACACTTCTTGAGGATTCACCATTTAAAACTTCCTTCTGTACAAGCACACAGGACGACCAATCCCCTTACTTTGTGGTTTTAAACAACCAATCGACGACCAATCCCCTTACTTTTGATTTTAAGCAGCTACGGCATTACTCGGCTTGTTTTCCCTCCACACTCAACTGTTCATTCAATAAGAATTTACTGAGTACCTACTATATAATCGAGGCACTATGTTAAATGCTGGAGACTTATCAGTAAAACAGTCTCCATCTTAGTCCCCATGGAGTGTAGAGTCTAGTTGAGAAACTTACCCTCCAGTGGCATCAATTGTAACTTGACTATGTCCACAGCTCAAATCATTTCCAGAAAAGATGAAGATGTATTTCAATAAAACATATTTGTAGAAACTATGAAAGGCATTTTGAACATTCAGGGTGACAGCAGGCTCATTGGAATGAGTACAAAGTTTCACAAGGCTAGCACTCTGTGAGTCCAGTTCTCTGGATGTATAAGTTCTTCATGTTCGTTATTCAGTCACGTTACTTTATGGTGACGTTTCCTGTTGTGACTCAGCACCCACACATCAGGCACTGTAGCCTCATCTCCTTCTCTGACATTCCTTTCAGTGTCTTGAAGAGTGTTCTAGCTGAGCTAATACTAACACTGACCATGTGATAAGGGGGAAGGATCACAAATGAAGACTCAGAAGATGTGAGTCTAAGACTCACCTTAACCACCTGCTAGCTGTTTGATCTTAACCCATGTTTACCCTCCTTGAGCCTGAGTTTCTCCTACTGAATAATGGGATAATTGCTTCTACGTCTATCTCACAGGGCTGCAGAATGAAACACATGTGATAATGTCTATGAAGCTGTTTTGGAAACTGTAATTCACTATATGAAGTATTATTACTATATTTTTTATTAGCCTTTTACTTAGGAATTATTTGATATCCTCTGTGGGTTCTTCTAACACCAGATTATGAGCAGTTTTCCAAGGGCTAAAGGGAACACTGGTTCTTTAAAGGGCTGCCTAAGGACACATGTCAAATACAGAGTTCTAGGCCACTTAGGAACAATATCCTCAGAATGAGAAGCTGGGAAAACTCACGATGATGATGACTCACTGAATATCCTGGGGTAAGGGTGAGAGGGTTGGAAGAAGAAGAAGAAAGAGAGAGAGAGAGAACAAATGTGTCTCCTACAGAGAGACAGAGGCAATGGATGTGTTTCTTTTTCCACATAAATTGAATCTTGTTGGTAATTATTTCTGTTCATTGGCCAGACAGCACCAAGGTCATTTTGTTTTGGATGTGTTTAAAGGTTCTGGAAACATGGACCAGCCTTGAGCTTATGAAGTCACTGGCCATTTCTGTTCCTGCCCTGGTAGAAGCTTAACTGGGATCATAGAAAGCCAAAAGTAGATGGAGGAAAGTACCTAAGTTGCTCAGAATTTAGTTTTACTGAGCAAAATAAGTGAGCGCATTTCCCCTATTTGCTTTTAATGACTAAAACAAATAAGGAGATAACAGAAACTTGCAGACTGCAGTCACTAAGATAGCCCACCCTTGTTGCTGGTGTAAAAGCACAATTCATTAAAAACAATTCTCTAGTGATTCTGCCACATGAATTGTTAACTTAGAATGTATGAGTTTAAACTAACCTAATATAACATTTTCTGAATGTATAACGTTTTCTGAAGAACTGAATGACCTTCATAAATACGAATGCATTGCTTCCCTAAAAGAGATATGGACAGTAGCATGCATTCAAAGTCTCCTGGAACTAGAAGAAATGACTGCAACTAAAGAGGAGTGCTTCACCCAGTGTTGTACTAGAGCTACAAATTATTAAACTTTCAGGAATTTTGCAAACCAGATAACATGTTGGTAATTTTAAATCTGTAAAAACAAAAATCATGTTAATCCTCACCCCTCTAACAACACCTAAAAAAAAAAAAGTTTTGCTTTTTTGTTTTGTTTTGAGTCAGGATCTCACTCTGTTGCCCAGGCTGGAGTGCAGTGGCAAAATCACGGCTATTGCAGCCTTGACCTGCTGAACTCAGGTGATCCTTCCGACTCAGTCTTCCAAGTAGCCGGGGCTGCAGGCATGCACCACCATGCCCGGCTAATTTTTTGATTTATGGTAGAGATGAGGTGTTGCCATGTTGCCCAGGCTGGTTTCAAACTCCTGGGGTCAGACAATCCTTTCGTCTCAGCCTCCCAAAGTACTGGGATTACAGGCATGAACCACCATGCCTGGTTAGTTTTGCATATTTTTTTTTGAGTTGGAGTCTCACTCTGTCGCCTAGACTGGAGTGCAGTGGCCACTCCCGGCCACTGCAGCCTCGACCTGCTGGGCTCCGGCGATTCTTCCGCCTCAGCCTTCCGAGTAGCCAGAATTACAGGCATGCGCTACCACGCCCAGCTGATTTTTTGATTTATTGTAGAGATGAAGTCTTGCTGCCCAGGTGGGTCTCGAACCCGCGGGCTAGGGCAATCCACTCACCTCAGCCTCCCAAAGGCGCGGGATTACAGGCTGAGCCACTGAGCCCGGCAGTTTTGCATATTTTTAATACTATGTCATCAAGTGGCTATACTGCAGTTTACTTAATTTTTTCCTAAGTGTAACAACCTTTAATTTGTTTGCATGGTGGAAGTATTAAAACCACAAAATTTGCCAAGTGCTACCAACCAAGGCTTTCCCCCCAAAAAGCCAGTTATTAAACGTTTGTCAGCACACCAGTGGCCTTATTCCTCATCTAAAATCAAACCAAATATAAAAGAATGACTCAAAATTTAGCCCTTCTGCCATGAGAACACATTTAACATACCTTTACCCTACATTGGTAATATTACCTTGGCTAGTTTAATTATTCTTTCTTTTTAAAAATTATTAAATTATTATTATATTTTAAAATTGTGGGATACAGGCTGGGTGTGGCGGCTCAAGCCTGTGATCCCAGCACTTTGGGAGGCTGAGGTGAGTGAATTGCCTGAGCCTACGGGTTTGAGAACAGCCTGGGCAATTTGGCGAGACCCCATATCTACAATAAATTAAAAAAATTAGCTGGGTGTTGTAGCATGCGCCCGTAGTTCTGGCAACTTGGAAGACTGAGGCAAAAGGATCGCCTGAGCCCAGCAGGATAAAGCTGGGGTGGCCATGAGCATGCCACTGCACTCCAACCTGGGCGATGGAGTGAGATTACAAGTAAAAAAAATGTGGAGTACAATTCAGGGTTAGGTATACAAAAGTTATTATGCAGGTACCCTTGTTGATGAGGTGTGCCCCCATTCCCTGGCAGTTTCCCACTACTGCCGATTCCTTTCTTAGAGTATTATGATAATTGTTCAAGATCCGCTTATATAATTACTCTTTCTATGAGCTATGAGCATTCACTCTAACAAACCTCTAGACTTTGAAGATTTTGCTATGGGAAAGAAAAATTAAGGAAATTCAAATTTTATTTTTAACTTGAATTTTGTAAAAACAAGCTACCATGGCAGTTTTAATTATTAGAACTCTTTGGAAATAAATTTGGCAACATATACCAAAAGCCATCAAAATATTTATACCCCTTCACATAGTTATTCTGCTTCTAAGAAGCTATCCTAAGGAAATAGTCTCAGATACAGAAAAATTTCTATTAATCATAATGGTCATTATAAGAGATAAAAGTGGCACACAAATGTTCAAACTAAGAGAAAGGTCAAGTGGGTTGCAGTACGGCTACTTGATAATAAATACTATAGTTATTAAAAACATGCAAGCCCCTATCTATGGTATTGTTACAATGGTGGGAATTAACTTTTTAAAGAACTTTGTCCATTTCTAAGATTTTCTATAGAGTTCTTAAGTTAGTTTTGTAATGACAAAAAATTGCAATAATTTAAAAAATCCTTGAATTGAGAGGGGGAAAGTACAAATGCTGGCATACTTTCTTGGTGAATTTGAAGTTTCTAAGGCTGAGTTCTTTAGACTATTTTCTTCATAATTAATGAATACAGAAAAGCCTGATGGGGTTGTGGCATTGGACCTGGATTTGCCACCTTTCCTGAAATGCTTGCTCTGATAACGCCATGGCATGCATATTTCAAGGGAGGAAACGAGAATAAGGTGAATGGGGCTACAGTTGTTAAAACTCACACTTAATTCATTAACCAAAAGACTTGCCTGAGGTGTGATTCCGCACCAGAAATTAGAGTACAGGCCCCGAGACTCCAGCATGGGGGCCACAATGGTTTTGTTTTCTGCAATCATTAGATTGAGGGTCTGTGGATTAGTCAGGAAATTGTCGACATCTATAAACTAGGAAAAGAAAAGGATGATGTCAGGTGAAAAGGTACTTTTCAGTAATGAGTTCAAGAATAACCCAACTCTTTCTTCTGAAGGATCACAGATACGGCTCATGAGATATGGAACCAGTTATCTATGTCTTCCTGTTGAAACCCACTGCAGCTGGGGAACTTTCATTTGGTCAAAATACATCCAGTCTGGCTCCCACATATTCAGCTCTACATAAGGTACTAAGCAACACATTAGTGCTGCCATACAGGACACAGACTCAACCAGGACCCCACTTACACCTGGTTGGTGGTTTAAGCACAAGATATTAATGGCTCCTAAGCCCTTAAATATTCATTCAAAACCACCTATTGAGCACTCTAAGTGCAGATAGGGCAGACCTATTTAGTTTTTCTATAGCAATGCCAGAATAGCCCCAAACAAAACTGTCAATGCTATTTTAATGTTACAAGTAGAATTTTAAAGTATATTATATCAACTTATTCTAACCAGTGAAGTTATTTCCCATTCTTAGCAGCATCCATGTTAACAGTGATGTATCTACAAAAACAGTATAATGATAGATTCTAGAGTATAAAAAAATCACACTATATTTTATACTTAAAAATTGGCTAAATTGATAGGTTTATGGTATGTATATTTTTCCACAAAGAGTCATAAGGTTCATTCTTATGATAGTCAATTTGTTTATAAAAATTTTGTGGTTCAGTGTTTGTATAATTTAATGACATTTAAACAGCCCTAGAAAGTTAAATGTTGTCAGAGCAATTTGAAAAATTCTATGAAATCATTTGTGTTGCCAGTGTATGTGAAAAATTATTAGTATGATTTTTTTTTTCTTTGTGGTTGAGAGTCTGGGGACAGACCTAGGTTAAAAGTCCATTCCTTTGTGAAATCAGAGTATAGAGACAGACAGCAGATGTCTATAAATGTGATAAAGTGCTATTGGCTTTGCCTTATTGATGTTATTGCTAGTGTCACATTGGAAAATGTTCATCAAAAGAACTAAATAGATTTGGAAGGTCCAGAGATGAAGAACATAGTTCCCAAAAACTTGTGGAAGAAAATGTCTGTTAGTTTTCAAAAGAGAAAGTTCTTTGCTACTTACGAAGCTGTCCTTCTTACTAGCTGAGATAAATTTAGAGAGGACAAGGACAGAATACACGATTGATTCCTAGTCATCGAGTCCTGCATTTTTCTGGACCATCCCCAAAGTTCTAAGCAAAGTGATGGAACCTCTTCATGGAGATATGTTCTCCATAAGAGCCCAGTCACTGGGAGCAACCAGGGAATCAAGCCAGACACGCCTTTCTCCAGATTACTCAGGAGTAAAAGGGAACAGAGTTTCAAAGCTGTTTATTTCAATCTCTTTTTATGGATTTATGTTCTCAAATCCTCCAAATTCTCCAAAAATTTCTTAAGACAATTTATATTGCTTTACCTATAGCATTTCACACAAAGTAAAAAGTTTCAGAGTTTCTTATGCCTGTTACATAATGGAGACCAAATAATTCAGGAGTATCTTCACTGCAAAAGCATGTCAGAAGTGAGTCTGAGATGAAATCCAGGTATTCCCAACATTAAATTGCCCAAAGTTTCCCTTGAGCTTTTATTAAAAAGTAGAGAGGTGGAGCCTAAGCAAAAGATTGTTCTGATGACTCTCAGAATCCTAGTTTTTGGACAACTGATTTGGATACATTCTATTAACAGTTGTCAAGAAATCAAACATCTGTTTTTACCAGAATGTAGTCTGACCATTTTTCCCTCGCAGTTCGAAGGGCTGCCTGTCGTAATTTCATCACATGGGCAAACCGGGAGCTTGGCCAATGCTTTGGTCCAATTTCATCAGGATAAGACCTAGAATGGTAATAATAATAATAGCTTATAATTATTGAGTGCCTACACATACCAGGCTACGTCCTAAATGTTTATGTACTAACTTATTTAATCCTCCATCAATGCTAGGAAGTAGATACTATTATTGTTATCATCATCCCCGTATTACAGATAAGGAAACCGGAGCAATGAGAGTTTAAGTAACTAGCTGCTTACTGTACACAGTAATCCTTATATCAAATATTTCAGTGTGTTCTAACTGGAGGCTCTGTGAGATATAAGTTCTATTGTTCTCCCCACCTCAGAGATGAGGATATTGGTGTAGAACTGTTCAGTCATTTGCCCAATGTCACACAACGAATAAGGGCACAATCAAGATTGAAATCCAGGCAGTTTGGACAGAAAACTCATGCACCTAGACACTTTATATGTTCTGCCATCAAATAAATTTGGAAAGTGTGCCATGTCAAACTATGAGTTACTCAGGAAAATTAAAAGTTTCATTTACTTGGTGGAGTCCCAACATATGAATCCATGCAGTCTAACACACTGATCTTTTCCAAGTTGAGTGAGATCATGGGAGCGCTATCAACATCCATAAAACAGCCTGGTCAAGACTATTCTATCCACATAGGCAAATGGGTTGGTGCACCCTCCAAAATCTTCTGTATGCACCCGACTAGCATGGACTTTGATGCCATAGAAGTAGCCCAAAAACTGGCCTCCACTTCAAGTTCTTGTAGCTACACTGACAGTACATTTGGTTTACTGAGTTTAAAAAAAAATCACAAAAACAGTGAGACTACTGTGAACAGTGAACTACACAATTATGGTTAATAAAACCAAGTACAGCACAGGAATTCTCTGGAATGTCTTTACCAATTACTGTTTCAATGAAAAGTAGTGAAATTTCTGCTTTTCTAAATACATTGCCAAAAAATGCCTGCCATAATACTTTGCACACTGACCTTGGCACATATTTAGCCAATACTTGCCTACAGAGAACATTACCAGGATGCAAAGTAGACACACAAAGTCATTCTGTGTCATCTTAATTAAGTGAAATTCTATTGTAAGGAGTGCCAAAGGAGTATTTAAAATTTTTTATAGTATTTAAACTTCATTGTTAAATTTTGCTTGAAATATAGACCATATGCTTGGATTTGAGAGAGAGATATATAGTATATATATTTGTTATAATATGTATTATATTTACATATTTTTATTTATAATATAAATATATAGGAATAATTATATATAGAGAAATTAAAAGAACAAAAATTTGTTCTGGAATGTCTTGGCATTTAGTATTTCTGTAATGCAAATTTGGTTTTCAATAAATGACTTGGGCTGAAATTCAGGCAACTCATTCTACTTCTACAATTCTTTAAGGTGGAATTATAGTAGCTTTGGGAACATGTATAATAATAATGTTTTAAATACATTTATTCTAGTTCTTATCAACTCATTTGTTCATCCAAGTATTAATTTCATGCCTGCCAAGAATATAGCACTGGGAGGGCATATAGTGCTTGTATGCGCTAGGCCCTGCCGACAAACCCACAATTTTAGAAAAAAATGTGTAAATCTCATAGTTAAATAACAATGTTAGTCAAGTGTGCTGCTGTGCCAAAAAGGATGATGTAAGCTGGGTGTGGTGGCTCACATCTGTAATCCCAGCACTTTGGAAAGCTGAGGCAGAAGGATTACATGAGCCCAGGAGTTCAAGACCAGCGCAGGCAACATAGCAAGACTTCATCTCTATAAAAAATAAAAAAATTATCCAGGCGTGGCAGTGCATTCTGGTATTCCCAGCTAATCAGGAGGCTCAGGCAGAAGGATTGCCTGAGCCTAGAAGGTCAAGGTTGTGGTGAGCTATGACACTGCACTCCAGCCTGGACAACAGAGTGAGACCCTGACTCAAAAAAATAAATAAATAAATAAAAGAAAAGATGGACATCGAAAATAGACAACATAGCCGGGCGGTGAACTGTGACACTGCACTCCAGCCTGGGCAACAGAGTGAGACCCTGACTCAAAAAAAAAAAAGAAAAAAGAAAAGAAAAGATGACATTGAAAATAAACAATATAGCTGGGCGTGGTAGCGCGTGCCTGTAGTTCCAGCTACTTGGAAGGCTGAGGCAGAAGGATCGCCGGAGCCCAGCAGGTCGAGGCTGCGGTGGCTGGGAGCGGCCACTGCACTCCAGTCTGGGCGACAGTGAGACTCCAACTCAAAAAAAAAAAAAAAAAAGAAAGAAAGAAAGAAAGAAAATAAACAATATAAGCAATACAATTGTTGAGAGAAAGGCAGATCTTTATAACTAATGATTAAGAATATCTCTCTGTAGTAGGTACAGTTTAGGATAACAGTTGATCACAAAGAAGGAAAGGGCCTCCCAGGACCTGCATGAGCAACATTGGGGGTTTGGGAATAAAAGGAACATTCTGGATAAAGCATATTTATTTTGGGGAAAAGGTAGCACATGTGAGTGCTAAGTTTATGGAATCTTTTTTCTTCTTCTTTTTTTGAGTCAGAGTTTCACTTGATGCCTAGGCTGGAGTGCAGTGGCACACTCACAGCTACCTGCAACCTCGATCTGCTGGGTTCAGGTGATCCTTCTGCCTCAGCCTTCCAAGTAGCTGGAACTACAGGTGTGCACCACCATGCCTGGCTAATTTTTTGATTTATTGTAAAGATGAGGTCTTGCCAAATTGCCCAGGCTGACCTCGAACCCCTGGGCTCAGGTAATCCTCTCACTTCTACCTCCCAAAGTACTGGGATTACAGATGTCAGCCACCATATCTGGCCTGCAATCTTTTAAATATATGTCTCAGCTGCACTCCAGGATGGGCGCCAGAATGAAACTTCAACACAAAGAAAAAAAAAAAAGAATGAATGAGTGACTAAATAAATGTGGCAGGTATTTGAACTTTGTCTTGTAGTTACTAAAGAGCAAATAGAGCCCTTTTAATAAAAAATGAAATCGCTTCATTTGTATTTTAGATAAACAGTATGATGTTAGGATGACTTGGAGATAGAAGCAGCTAAGAAATTGTTATGGTTAAGATGGGAAATAACCTAAATGCCCACCAATAGGGAATTGATTAAATAATTATGGTACGTTCATACGATGAATACTGTACAGTTAAAAAGAATGACACTCCTTAATTATTGCTGTGGAATGAGTACCAAGAAATGATAAGTGAAAAAAAAGCAAGGTGTATGTAGAAAAAACGCACACTTTTCACTATGATTCCTCGAGTATAAAAGGTTTACATTTAAAATATGAAGAAATAGCCTCAATATTTTAAAATATATGCTGCTGTGGCAATTTGTTTATGAGCTAATGAAAATCTAAACTTGGCTGGCAGCTGCAGGAGTAAAGAGGAAAGGGATGATGGAGATTTGACAAAGGAAGAAATGGCAGGGGTTCAGAGCTCACTTAGGTACAGAGATAAGAAACAAAGAAAAGTCACATGGACCTGCAAGACTGGAAGCTCAAGTGGCTGAAGAGCTGATTCAGGTGGAAGGGTGATAACCAGTTAACAAACCTCGCTCTTGCTACTCACTCTGGTTCATCCATAGGCCTCCACTCCACGTAGTGATAGAGTCTCTGGACATTTTTCAACCACTCCCTGAGTATTTCTGTTGTATTATCCATGTTGTGATCAGTGGCTGCCCTGCATGAGAGAAAGCACGGGGAATTTCGTTATGTCATCCAAAGAAAGGACGAATCCAGAAGACCTGACTAACTGAAAGGAGAATGGCCAGTTCCAGGATAAAAAATGGTGTATATGGAAATAATTTCCTCAACTCAAACTAGCCAATGAACTTCTAAAGTGACAGAGGCTGCTTAAAATCATCTTTGAGTCATTAGCTCCTTAAACAGGGCTCAGACAATTGTAGAATCTATAAGAGGCTGTATTAATAAATAAACACATTAAAACAGTATAAGCATAAGACGAGTTAACCTAGAGTCAGTTAATAAATCTTCTTGGAAATTTTCTATTTACTTTTTAGTTATCCAAGACATAAATTCTACCTTTTAACTTCACTAACAGTTACTCTCAATTTAAGCAATAATTCAGCTTCATTTTCATTAAGTCAACTTTAAGGGAACAATAAAAATATCTGGTCACTGCTGCTTTAATCATTGCGAAGCCACAATAATAATTCCATACATAAAACTTGAAATCGAAGGTATCATAACCTATCTATATAGGGTTAACTTTATAATGACTTATACAAAATAGCCTTTTCAAAAGCCTTCAAATTATGCATACAAAACATGTGTCTGTTCTACCTTGAAAGTTTAACAAATGGATCCATTTATAAAAGGGCTTAACTCACTTACTAAAAAATATTTTCAGGTTGTATCAAAATACAAAACCCAACTCTATGCTGTATATGAGATACACATGTAAAACAAAGTTATTCAGAAAACCTAAAATGATGAGATATGAGATATGCTAGTTAATGAAAACAAAGGAGCCAGATGCATTGGCTCACGCCTGTAATCCCAGCACTCTGGAAGGTAGAGGTGAAAGGATTGCCTGAGCCCACGGGTTGGAGATCAGCCTGAGCATCTTGGCGAGATCTCATCTCTACAATAAATCAAGAAAAATTAGCCGAGTGTGGTGGTGCATGTCTGTAGTTCCAACTACTTGGAAGGCTGAGGCAGAAGGATTGCCAGAGTCCAGCAGGTTGAGGCTGTGGTGGCCGTGTGCGTGCCAGTGCACTCCAGCCTGAGCGACAGAGTCAGACTTTGACTCAAAACAAAAAACAAAAAACAAAAAAACAGGAAAGAAAGCAGGTGTTGTAATCCTGTCATTAAACAATGTAGAATTCAAGGCAAAAATATTAAGCATGACAAAGAGAGAGACTTTACAATATTAAAGGACGCAACTCACACCAAGGATATACCAAGTATGAATATCTATGCACTTTCATATAATACAAGGGTTGGCAAGCTTTTTTTGTTTAAGAGCTAAATATTAAATATTTTGGGTCTGCAGGCCATATTCTCTGTCACAATCACTCAACTCTGCCATTGTAGTGATAAAACAGCCATAAGCAATATGTAAATGAATGAGTATTGCTGTGTTCCAATAAAATTTTATTTACAAAAATAGGCAATTGGTCTGAAGTTTGCTGACCTCTAATCTAGTAGAAAGTATAGAAACTGCAAAGAAAAACAGAAACAGCAATAATAAGAAATGTTAAAATACCACTTTCAGTTGAAGACAGTACAAGTGGAGAAAAAGGTAAATATATAGAAGATGTATTAATATACAACACAAAAATAGAAGCTATATGTTCTTCTCAAGTGCACATGGAACATTTACTAATATTAACCAACAATTACATTACAGAGAAAACCTCCATAAAGTTGAAATAATATGAACAACATTCTCTGATCACAATACAATAAAACTAGAAATGAATTATAAAACAAAAAATTTAAAACTCTTATAAAACTGTTTTTTAAGTAACAATTATTGAGTTAAGAAATGCAAATCAATTTCAGAATTTCTAAAAATTAATCATGAAAACACTACATATCAGAATTTTGGAATACAATGAATACGATGATCAGATAAAAATTCCGTTTTATATATTTGAATAAATAAAAATAAGTTAAATTCTTACCAACAAAGCTATAAAAAGAGCAACAAACCTAGCAAATATAAATAAATAATAAGGATAAAGGTAAAAAGATATGAAGTATAAAACAGAAAAAGAGTAGAAACAAGCTAAAATGTTGCCTTTTTGAGAAAAATCAACAAAAGATAAGCCCTACGTAGCCTATGTAAGACAACACAAATATAAAAAAATAAGAAATAACAAGGATGGGGAATGAGATGAATGGAAAGAAAAATGTTAGAAACTTATAAGCAACTACTTTGCACAACTCAATGAGGAATAGATTTGAAAACTACCAGGGGTGCCAAAAAATGCACGCACATTTTAAAAGATGTTATCTATGAATTTCTTTTTTTTTTTTCCACCATAATCAGTAGTGTATGGACACTGATGATAACCACTTTGAGTACTTTTTGTAATTGCAGAAGTCATTTTGTAACTTGTATTCATCTATAATTTTAATATACTTTTTTCCTTTATTAAAATGTGTATACATTTTTTGCAACCTCTGTAGATATAATGGAATATTTTCTAGAAAAATGCTTGTTAACAAAATTGACTACAGCAGAAATTTAATACTTAAAGGAAATATTTCTGTGAAAAAAATAAAGAGAATAAAGAGAACACAGTGCCCAGATAAGGTTTCACAAGAGAATTCTACTAAATCTCACACTAGATATTCCTAGTGCTATATAGCTTGTTCTCCAGAGGGTAGGAAAAAAATGAAAATTCTAAGTTTTTCCAATAATTCAAGTACAATATAGAAGTCTAAACCTAATGAAGGTACACACAAACACACGCAACTATTGACAAATAGATCTTTTAACGCATATCAAAAAATGCTCAGATTCAGTCATGATTAAAGAAATGCAAATGAAATCTGCACTGAGTTACATTTCCTACCTATCAGATTGGCAAGAATTCAAAAGCTTGGTCATACCCTCTCTTAGGAAGGCTTCATGAAAATGGCACCTTCGTACACTGCTGGTGAAGTGCCTAATGGAATGATCTATGGAGGCTCAACTGGCAACTGTCTAACATAATGACCTTTGCATTTATCCTTTGATCCAGAAATTCCACTTCTGTAAATTTACCCTGAATATAAACATCCAAGTAACTTCAAAAAATGCACAAGCTTATTCAGTGTGGTATTGATCATAATGGCAAAATATTGGAAACAACCTAAAGATCCATTCATGACAGGCCACTTAAATAAACCACTGAACACAACTGATTGAACTACCACACAGCTGTTAAAAAAAAAGAAGAAAAAAAGAAAAAAATCTCTATGAACTAATATGGAATGATTTCAGGATAAATGAACAAACAAGTTGCAAGAAATATATACTATGCTACTTTTTGTTTAAGAAAGAAGAAAATTATATCTTTTAATTTTCTTAAAATAAAAATAAAAATAAAAAACATACAAGAAAAAAGATAAACAAGAAAGTCATAACTCTGATAACAAAAGTGAGAACATGGAAATGGGGTGGAAGGTATAGGGAAGATAGTGAGAATTCCTGAGTAAATCTTTTATATGGTTTTAATCTTTGAAAAATATATGAACATTTTCCATGTTCAAAAATGAAAATTAAGTCAACAATCATAGAAAAATTCAGGAAAAATTCTGGAGGCATAGGGAAGAGAGTGACAATTTTCTGAGTATCTTTCATATGGTTTTAACTTTTGAAAAGCATATTAATATTTTATATGTTCAAAAATTAAAATTAAGTCAACAATCATAGAAAAAATCCTGAAATTAAATATGAACAAAACCGAATAAAATTGTTACCATAACCACATGTGAAAACGAAATCCAAGAAACTTTTGAACACAGTACTCTGAATATATATTCCCAGCGGGATACATTTTAAGAAAAATAACTTCAAAGAAATTTTAAATTGTATTTAGCAGAGTTTTTGTTGGTGGTCATATTGGTGTAGAAATTCACAATTATTTTGTGTGTTTTATGGAACACGTGAATACTTTAGAACCAAGGTTCCCACAGCCAGATTAGAAAGATACAAACATGGAACTGGGGAAAGAAAGGAAGAGATATACGGTGTTACAATGAAATTGGAAGTACTGCTACAGACTCAGAATTTAAAAATACATACATTTCCTAATGCTGTCCACTAAAGCAATGATATTCCAGTGACAAGAAGTATATCTAAGTTCAGATCTCGGTTTCTAAATACCATTCCCCAGTACAAGGAACAGGGTTCCTTGGAGAAATGGCTAATCCCAGGTTTGTAAGGAAGAGAGAAGATAATTCTGAACATCTGATTGTTCCGGAGAGTATGGAAGTGCTCAAAGATTGATGAAACTATGTCAGAAGGACACAAGAGCCAGTTTGAAGGACATTCACTGGATAAATATAAGTCCATCTGAGCATAAAAAAAAAAAAAAATACAGTAATGAGTTTCAATACACTGAATACAAAGAATGCAAGAGTTCTAATATCATAGTGATATTAGAATTTAAAAAGGCAGGAGAAGGGAAGACATTTCTTTAGAGAAGAATTTTTTAAAATGTAGAATAAATGATAGAATTATAAAAACCACTATTTTACAATCACCAATATGATAATTGATTATGGCAAAATTATCAATGGATATTAAACCATTCAATAGAAGGTTCTTGACAAACAGGATATCGAGTCTCATAAGATCACTCCACAGATTATTTATTAATTACAAAGGGAGAAGTATAGTTTTGCAATGGCGAAGTCTGATGGATACCATCTTAATCAAGTGCTCTAACTGAATATTGCCTATCATCAATTATGAGACAAACTGACATCAAGTATTTCTTGATATGATACCCTGAGAACACAAGATTAACTATGTGATACTCTTGCTAAAAATGTTTAACTTGAATAGAATCAAAAGAAGATAACTAGACAAATCAAAACTATTGGACAAGTCATCAAACAACTGGTATAATATTAAAAAATACCAACAACATGAAAAACAAAAAATGGGAATCATCATAAATTAAATGAGATCAAAGAGATATGACCACTAAATGAAATGTA